GCACCTGACAACAACAACAACAAACATCTTTTGGGTGTTTTCAGCTTTAAGACAAAATCCATTCGATGTCTCATTCCAAGTGCTCTTCTGAATCCAGTGTGAATTTCCGGCAGCTCCCGGTTGATGTACTGCTAAAAACATTTTTGAGTTATATTCAGCAAAATTGCTTACATGTGATATTAGTGATACTGCTTGATGATTTTTGCATTCCATTGTGTCACCTCTCTATGGGATGGGCACAAATATGAATCTCTTTCAATTTGCTGTTCAGGTAGCTGATTTCCATATTCTTGGCATAGATGAGTGAGTGCCTCCAGCGTTGCATCTATTTGTTTTAACACCTCAATTTGTATTCCATCAATTCCTGAAACTTTGTTTTTCCCCAATGCAGCTTGGACCTCTTCCTTCAGTATCATCAGTTGTTAATCATGTGCTACCTCTTGGATTGGTTGAACACTGACAATTTCTTTTTGGTATAATGATTGTGTATCCCTCCCATCTTCGTTTTATGCTTTCTACATCATTCAATATTTTGTTTATAAAATCCTTCAATATTGCAACTCCAGGCTTGAATTTTTCCTTCAGTTCTTTCAGCTTTAGAAATGCTATTCTCTTCCCTTTCAGTTTATAACTCCAGGTCTCTGAGCATTTCAACATCCTTTACTTTGTCTTCTTGAGCTGTTCTTTGAAATACTTTGTTCAATTGTTTTACTTCTTCATTTCTTCCCATTGTTTAAGCTTCTTTACACTCAAGAACAAATTTAAGAGTTTCTTCTAATATTCATTTTCGTCTTTTCTTTCTTTCCTATCATTTTAATGGCCTTTTGCTTTCTGCCTCTATGACATTCTTGCTGTCATCCCAAAACTCCTCTGGTCTTCAGTCATTTAGTGCCTAATGCATCAAATCTGTTCTTCAGATAGTCTCTAAATTCAGGTGAGATGTAATCAAGGCCAGATTTTAGCTGTCATGGGCTTGTTTTCATTTTCTTCAGCTTCAGCTTGAACTTGCTTACTTGCAATTGATGGTCTGTTCCACAGTCAGTCCCTGGTCATGTTTCGACTTATAATATTGTGAGCTTCTTTCTCCAACTTTGGTCCCAAAGATGTAGTCCATTTGATTCTTGTGTATTCTGTCTGTGGTGCCCCAAGTGTACGTTGTTGTTGTTGTTTTGTTAGGAGCCGGTGAGTGGATTCAAACTCAGAACTAAACACTGCCCAGTCCTTCACCATCTTCACAATTGTTGTTAAGCTTGAGCCTACTGCTGCTACTACTGTACCAATCAATCTCATTGAAGGTCTTCCTCTTTTTCGCTGACCTTCCGCTGTACCGAGCATAATGTCCTTCTCCAGGAACCTTTCTCTCTCCTGATGATATGTCCGTAGCATGAGAGATAAAGTCTTGCCATCCGGGCCTTTAAGAAACATTCTGGCTGTACTTCTTCTAAAAAGTTTGTTTGTTCTTCTGATAGTCCGAGGTATTTTTAATATTCTTTTCCAACAACATAACTCAAATACATCAATTATTCGCTGGTCTTCCTTATTCATTGTCCAACTTTCACATGCACTTGAGGCTATAGAACATACCATGACTTGGGTCAGATGCAACAAAGTCCTCAAACTAACATCTTTGCTCTTGAATATGTTAAAGAGATCTTGTATTACATATTTGCCCGATGTTCATTTAATTTCTTGACTGCAGCTTCCATAAGTGTTGCCAGTGGATCCAAGAAAAATAAAGTCTTT